AGGTTTAGTTTTTTTTTTGCGAGAAATCGGTAATTGGTGTGTTTTGTTACAAAAGTAATTACGTCCAAATCTCAAAGTTTTTCAGATTTCCAGAACAACATGTGAAAAGGGCATACAAGCTTTTTGTAAACAAACCTTCTTATGCCCTTTTCTCGCCACCCATATGACACCAACGCTAACCTTTCACATCACCGGGTAGGGGACACTTTCCCCTTTCCGATGATATTGCTGGTTTGCGTGGGCGACCCTCGGTTGGTGAGAAAAGGGCCTACAAAGGTTTGTTTACAAAAAGCTTGTATGCCCTTTTCACATGTTGTTCTGGATTTGTTAACACAAAAATGAAGCTAACGATCATCAAAACAACAACAACCATTACATGTTGTCTGTGTCCCATTCAGTTTTGACGTCTCATCATCTAGTCACTACACTGAATAAAATCCACACGTTCCATTCATGTGTTTTCAAATATGAATTTTGCCAATTGCCAGTCACCATGATATTATGTGGATTTCATTCGCATTTCATGGGATCAATATTGGAAAATTATACGTCCCAGCTGTCGGTGAAATCAAAACAAATCACACCATAAATTCGTGAGTTTAGTTATTGAAATTCATGGGATCTCAGTATAGGATTTGCGCTACTGTTTTCTACTATCGTATTTAACGTGTATGGCACATAGATCTCATCAGTAGCAGGACGAGTGTCAAACGAAGTATTAAACAAAGTAACAATCAATGCCAATGTATGTTGCTGCTAAAGTTATGACCCTTACACAGCAAAAAAAAAATGTAATATCGATCAACGTAATTCAAGCTGACGTATGAAATAATGATGTAATAGCAAAAAGCAGATACAATATTACATCAATGGATGTAATTTTGTTCGCAAAATCGATGTACATCGTACAATGTGATATTACACAACCGATGGATTGACCTGGTTGCAGCAGTTTCGATGTAATATTCAACAACTTTTTTTGCTGTGTACGAGAGTTTTCAGGTACCCCACAATATTAATTTACGGTTTAATTTACTGTCAATAATTACTTTTCCCAGTAGCAATCAATTTGTCAGCAGGTGTGAAGTAGTTGGTCAGTTCTATCTGAAACAAGGGGTGGTCACTCTACACACTTATTTTGCGCCAACATTTTTCTCAGTGTACCTCAGTGTGCCGCAGCTGTACGGGCAGTGCCAAGAAGTCATTGAACTGACTTTTATTTGCTTGTGAATAATGACTTGTTTGGCAACCCGTTATTTTAACAGCTCTTGTTTTTGTTTTGTTTTTCAATGTTTTCAAAAACGACACGGACTCCCGTTGGGACTACACACTGGATGCATCCGTCTCCAAGGATGCCTGCAACGAACGAGCTCCGTTGCTACACGATCCTTCCATCTTCGGCGGAAGGCCGACCCCGCACAACGAACGTCAATCATTTGTCAACCAGCCCTTCTAGGAGCCGGCAAAGGAAACGGATTTGCACCGCCCGAGTATCATCCGTCGGAAAACTGGAAACCAACACCGGCCGGAATACACGTCGGACTGATGAAGGACGCACCGCTGACCCGAAACGGACCAGTCCACTTCATTCAACCGGCACAGCAACAGGGCGCAGTGATGATGGTCTACGGACTCAATAACAACACAGCCAACACCGATAAGCTGTTCAATCTGTTCTGCCTGTATGGAAATGTTGTCAGGATCTCGGTCAGGATAAAGTTCCTGAAGATCAACGAGGGTACCGCCATGGTCCAGATGGTAGACTGGATACCCGTATGCCGTCCGAGGATCTGCTGCTGACTGCATTCACCACCAAGGACTGCCACCCGTCGCAAATGCGAATGTTCCCGCTGAAATCGGAAGTTCCTCCTCCGGATTGGTCGAGTTCTCAAGCAACCCTGGCGAACGCCATCATGAAGTGCGACCACAGCTAGGTCGATCACAAATGCACAAAATTCCCGTTCATTATGAAGTTGTGCTTCTCCTCCTCCAAGAAGATGAACGGTGCGTGGAGCAACGAGAACATCGAAAACACGTTAGCTTTGACAGAGGGGAAGTTTGTTTTTCTGAAAAAAGGATTATTTCAAACTGTACATTGGACACTTTTTCTGTGTAGTTAATGTTATGATTCATAAGAGGTCCAAGACGGTCCTCCAACATTATACGTTGGACGATGGAATGGTTGGTGTAGCAGCCACCGCCATGGATGTATTCGAGTAGTTCGAATGGTCTGATGGTATAGTTTTTGTTTGGTTGTTGACTTTCCGATTAAATCTCAAGCACCACTTGTCGTGACCGGACCGAGATTTCCAGCGTCGACCACGGCTACATGAATTAGCGATGCAACTCCCGCGGCTGCTTCCAATGCTGCTGGTGCTGCTGATCCTTCTACTGGTCAATCTCCTCTAAAATTCGCCAAAAAGACGCATTGCATTGGAAGCAGCCGCAGCCGTGGGAGCTGCATCGCTAGTTCGTGTAGCCATGGCCGGAAACCTCGGTCAGGTCAAGATACCGATGTCAGCTGTTCTTCGTCTGGGAGGAAATGTGGATGCGACTGCCGTCACGGGTGTAACGATTTTGAGAATCCATGGCGAGACTTGGTGGAGATTCAAGGTTGTTTTGAAAATAATTTGATTATATTGTGGCAACATCAATAACAAATTTTGACACATGCACACTACGCAAGCGCAATAAAAGTTCAGTGTTGCCAGTAACTTTAAAGATCACAAATTGTAACCATGGCTGCCAAACAGCACCAATGACTTCGCCCGGGTGTGCACAAGTTTGATTTTGGCACACTGTGTAGAGTGACCAACCCCTTGATCTGAAAGAAAACTTTATTTTTGGCTTCATTAGAGAGATTTTCAGCCATTGGCTGGATCATCTTTCCAACAGAAAAATGATATGGAATGGTAAGTAAATCCTATTTAATGACTGAGAATAATCTCCTGGTGTAATGATGTGATTGGAGAGAGCTGCAGTGTTTTTTTTTATTATCTTTTATGAATTAATAATGAAAAAAAATAATCATTAAATGAAATGCAATATTGCTGGGATAAGTTTTGATCCCTTGTCAAAAGTAAGAAATACGAGCCAGCTATGTTCGAAAATATGCTTTTGAATGAAGAAAATTTGATGATTAAGTGTCAGACTGTCGATAACAAAATGTGAGACACGTGAAATCCAAGTGTATCACAATTGAACTTATAGTGGTCGGGAATAATTTCTATTATAAGTTTCACACATGAAATGGATGTGTTTCGCAATTTGCGCAAATCGAAGTGTGGAACACATAAAGGTAACGTGTGAATTTTTTTAAGTGTAAGTCGACACTCAGGTTCCGAATGTCAGATATGAACGTCACTCTTTCGAAGAGATTGTCAGATATCTCAACAATTCAGTCGGGGTTGGGTGTGGTGAGTGTCATCGGTGAGATTCTTTTAATTATGTTTTGGTCTTTTCCTTTCAGTACGCACACTCTTGTGACAATCGTGAGATTTTGCAACTCTGTTTCCACCAGCATGGAGACAGGTTAAAGTAATAGCTATTCAAAAGCCTGGGAAACCAGCGTCAGATCACAATTCTAACCGTCCGATCTCTATGTTATCATGCCTGAGGAAAATATTAGAAAAAACTTGACCATAGGGTTGAATCAAACAATCTACTTTCCAATACGCAGTCTGGTTTCCGAAAGAGTAAAGAAGCAAACGATCGTCTAGCGATGCTTTCATCTGATATTCAACTGGTCTTTGCGCACAAGAAGCATCTTTTTGAATATTAAGGGCGTATTTGATTCTGTTTCCATAGACATACTGTCAGACAATTGGCACAGTAGTGGATTACCCGGTATTTTAAATACTTTCTTGTATAATCTGTATTTCTGGGCAAAAAATTTAGGGATCGAGTTTTCACCGCAAAAACCTGAATTGGTAGTGTTTACAAGCAAACGGTTTCCAGCCCAACTGCGTCTAAACTTTTTTGAAGACATTACCCAATCTTTAACCTTTAAATACCTTAGAGCCTGGTTTGATTCAAAATGCACTTGGGGTACCCACACTAAGTATTTGAAACAAAAGTGTCAACAAAGGATCAACTTTCTACGATCAATTTCCGGGACATGGTGGGGTGCTCACCCGGAAGACCTTATTAAACTGTATAAAACGACTATTCTTTCAGTTCTTGAATATGGCTCTTTCTGCTTCCTCTCAATAAAAAAAGCCACCAAATTAAAATGCTGACGACATACTGATTTTTGGAAGTGGTGACATCATAGAGGAAGCGGTTATTGATCATAACCGATGTCTGGAAGCGTTCTTCGATAGGGTAAAGCAACAAAATATCAAGCTTAACATCGAGAAGGTCAAGTTGTGTCAGGAAAATGTGAAGTTCTTCGGACATTTGCTTACCCCAGACCGAGTTAAAGTGGATCCGGACAAGATCAACAACGTAACAGTAATGGAAAGCCCAAAGGATGTGCCAGCTCTTCATAGATTTTTGGTTATGATCACATATCTAACAAACTATCTCCCAAGCCTGGCAACAGTTGCGGAACCATTGCGTCGTCTGACAAATAAAGATGCACCGTGGTCGTGGACTCAGGAGCAAGAGGACGCTTTTCTTCGGCTGAAAGAAATGGTGACCTCTGCACCGGTATTGCGGTCGTCATTCAATGTGACAGCAGCAGTGTGGGACTTGGAGCAGTGCTCATGCAAGGCGGACATCCTATCATCTATGCGTCGAAGACTTTCAGCAACATGGAACGTAAATACGCACAAATAGAGAAGGAGACTTTCGCTATCCTGTTTGCTTGCCGTAAATTCGAGCTGTACATCCTCGGCAAGCCAGTCACGGTAGAAACGGACCACCAACCTTTGTTGAGAATTTTACAAAAACCATTAGTCGAAGCCCCCCTCCGTATAGGGCCCCTATAATTGCACCGAAAATAAACTCGTCGAACGATCAAATTTTTCAAACATATCGTTTATCCCTCATCCTTACATTGGTGTTGGTGAAAGCTTTGAAATTGAGAGCTTTAGCAGAATGGGAAGAATGAATTCACGCGTCACCATTCAAATAGACCTATCTACATTCATCGATTCTCTTCAACGACGCTCTCTTTCGTTAATAACTTGGCTGCATTCATATTTTGGGGCAAATTTTTCTACATAGTCTGTTAAAATAAAGTATTATCAAGCGGATTGGACGATAAGATCAGCTGAACATGTTTTTGGAGCCGAGTTATTAACGAAAGAGAGAGTCGTTGAAGAGAATCGATCAATGTAGATTGGCCTATATGAAAAGTGACGCGATAATTTTGCTCAGAAACCTGTATCCTCGGCTCACAGTAAGGGCGCTTGCATCCAGTGCAAACCAAAAATGAAGAAGCACCAGAACAAGACGGTGGGCAGCGGAGCCTCATCTCAATCCTCCGATGGACCGAATGCTTCCGCCAGCATGACGGCGACGGCAACGACAACCACGTCCAACACATCATCGGCTGTTAGTAATTGGATTTCTCCAGGGCAAGACCCGACCAGGATTAGTCCGGTGAGTACATGTTTAGTTTATTCTTTTTTTTTTGTTGTTTATTGTTGATGGTGTTCAAGTCGTCTGCATCTAAATTGCCTGTTACGTATTTGATTGCGGTTCCTAAAATATCAATTGATCTTTTATTTCTATATGATTTAATTTGAAATGTGTTGCATATAAATTTGATTTCTTTGAGTTTGTGTTTAATTATGTCGGAGAAATTACTTGACGAATTTTTTAGTTGACTTATAGCGTTTTCAATGATTAGAATTGACATTTCAAATTGTTCAAAATCTATGATGTGAAGTAACCTGTCATACCCAGCAACTATTCTTCCCTTCCCCCTTTGAAGAAACAACGCTCCTGCGTTGTTGGTTATGTCATGGATTTGGATTGTTTGGTGGGATAAGGATGGTAATGCGAGGATGAGGAATATGAAGGGTATTCCGACCGTGTGTTCCATAGTGTCCTATTAAAATATAAAGTTGTATTAAATTCTTTTAATATTATCTTTGTGTATACCCCGGCCAGAGTCGTCAACAAGTAATTTTCCGTTGTTTTCGACGACTTTGACTGGTGCATACTTTGCTTTGGTCTTCTTTTTTATCCCTTGCACTTTTTTATATGTGATTTCGTCCGGTTGGAAATCTGGTTCAATTTCCCTGTTTTTATTGTGGTAATTGAGGTTTTGTTTCTTCGACTTATCATGAGCCAAAATGATTTCGTCATAAACTTTGTTACGATTTTGAATCATCGTTTCCATATTAAGTGGTCTATCTTGGTCATCTTTCAGACCGTAGAAAGCTTCTCGCGGTTTAATTTTGATAGCCGAATGTATTGTGTTATTGTATTTTGTGCAAGAAATATTAAAGATTTCCTTCGTACTTAAATCTAGATAGCTTGGCTTGATACACCGAAAGATTTCCGCTATGGTAGAGTGGAATCTTTCAACTGTACCGTTGCTTTCGCTATGGTTGGGAGGAGTAAAAAATATTTCTATATTTAGGTCGTGAAGAAGTCCACGTACCTCTATCGATTTTATGGCTGGCTCATTATCACATACTATTTGACGCGGTGTTCCAAAAGTTTTGAAGAATTTGGTTAAACCTTTTCTCACGTCAAAAATATTCCGCGACTTAATATGTATCAATGTGCCGAACCGAGAGAATTTATCCAGAAATGAAAGAAAATATGTTTTTTCAGCAATGAAAATATCTACATGCACGATATCGAGGGGTCTATTGGGGTTTGGCGTTGAGCCAAGTTTAATTTTATATGGGTGACGGTCATATTTATTTTTGTGACAAGTTTCACATAGTTTGATATAATCTCTGACTTTCATTTTCATTTTTGGAAAATAAAATCTTTTTGAAATCTGCTGATGATTTTCCCAAATACCTCTGTGGGAACGATCATGCGTCTGTTCGATAATGAGGTTTTGTTCCTCTGGTGTTCGAAGGTCTATAAGGAGCTTTTGTGAGAAGTAAGCCTTAAATGGTTTTCCTCTACAAAAATGGTTTTTGTATGTAGTTTGAATCATGTTCATTAGGCTTTCAGGACAGTAAATACAATTTGTCCTTTTGAGGTCCATGTAATCTTTGAACATGTGGAAAATTACGGGTACTCCGAAGGCAAGTCTAGTTATTGTCCTTCGATAAACCCTTGGAAAAATTTCTTCGTAAGTGTCCTGGGCATCGGGACCAATTACGAGAACCATTTGGTTGCTGAATGCGTTCACTGGCATTTCAGTGCATTTAATAAATTCCGAATCGTCTGTGTCGGCTGAGTGAACTGTCATCTCAGACGATGCAGAGGAATCAGATGACGACGTGGTAGATTCAATGACATTGAGTTCGTTTCGAACTCGAGACAAACTATCTGCCACTATATTCTGTTTGCCTGGGCGGTAACGAATTTCATAGTCGAATTCGCCCAGTGCTAGACGCCAATGTACTAATCTATTATTGGAGTCTTTCAAGTTAAGTCCGTATGTTAACGGCTTATGGTCGGTATAAAGAATGAACTTTCTACCGTAAAGGTAAGGCCGAAAATATTTACAGGCCCATACTACTGCTAGGAGTTCTTTCTCTATTGCAGAGTATTTTTCTTCAGATTTGTTCAAGGTTCTGGAAGCGAAAGCTATCGGCTTATCACTTCCGATTGTCCCTTGTGATAGAACAGCGCCGACCGCAAAGTTGGAGGCGTCTGTTGTCAAAATGAATTGTCTAGAAAAGTCGGGGTATTGCAAAATATTGCTTCCTGATAGGATGCCTTTGCATTGTTCGAAAGCATCAACAAACTCTTTCGAGTGAGATATGCTTTCTCCTTTTCTTAGGGCATTTGTCAGAGGCTTGGCAATTTTTGCGAAGTCTCTTATGAATTTACGGTAGTATCCTAGGATTCCTAGGAAACCTCGTAATTCTTTTTCATTTGAGGGCAGTGGCCACTCTTTGATTATCTGGATTTTATCTGGGTTTGGTTTCACACCGTCTGGAGTAACAATGTGACCCAAGAAAGCAACTTCCTTTTGAAGGAACTCGCTCTTGTCCAACTGTATCTTCAGGTTGTGTTTCTCCAGTGTCTTGAATATTTTCGCTAAATTGTCAGTATGCTCCTTTAGGCTCGTGGAAAACACGATGATATCATCCATGTACACAAGACATGTGATACCAATGTGTTCCCGTAACACGTTATCCATAACGCGCTGAAACGTCGAAGGTGCATTTTTCAGCCCGAAAGGCATTCGCAAAAATTCATAGTGTCCGTTTTCAACACTGAATGCTGTCTTGGGAATGTCTTTCTCATCAACCTCGACCTGGTGAAATCCAGAGGCGAGATCTAGGGTTGTAAAGTACATGCAACGTCCCAGTTTGTCAAGGATGTCTGTTATGTTAGGAATGGGATAACGATCGTCGATCGTTTTCTCATTCAGCTTGCGGTAATCAATTACCAAGCGCCACTTTCTCTTGTCGCTGGCGTCCATTTTTTTTGGGACGATCCACACGGGAGAAGTCCAGGGGCTACTTGATTGTCGTATAATTCCTTGATCTAAAAGGTCGGAAATCTGTCGCTTTACCTCTTCTCTATGACAGAAAGGGTAGCGGTATGATTTCACGTGAATAGGTAAGTCATCTTTCGTAGTTATAGTGTGCTTAATCGCACTTGTAAATGAAAGTTTCATATCCTTCGTGAAAAATATGTCCTCGTGTTGAGCAATGACCTTTAAGAGTTTATTTCTTTCATCAGTATTGAGATGGTTAATTCTCAACTGATCGAAAAGAGTTTTCTTCAGGTTTGGCTCACAGCGAGACAATTATCTGGAGTTCCTGTTTCAAAGTTGTTTATTTCCGGTTTTATGATGTCGGGAGTTAAAGCAACTTTGCATGGTTCAGATGAATAATTCGTAATAAATATTTGGACATAGCCACTGTCTGCAGTGTACAGTCCAGAATGAATGAAAACGTTCGAAGCGATTGCGAGATCGTTTTCCAAGAAGAAATCTCCATTTACTTCTGTCTGCAAACTGACTGGCTTAGTTTCGTGAGCGTTTAAATATAGCGACTTTACGTCGGGGTATTTACGATTCATGGCTACTCTGCCTGTCGGAAATTTTAGCTCGTTAGTAGAAGTAATAATATCTACATGCAAATTTTTCAAGGTTTCGTAGCCTATAAGGCCATCGAAGAATGGGTGAAAATCGAATATTAAAAAGGTTTGTTTTGTGGTGTTGGGAATTTGTGGGAAAGGATTAAATTCCACAAATTTATCCACTATGTGTGATCCACTGACATTCCTCACAGTTGTAGGTTTGGTGGATCTGCAATTTTTATAGTTTACGTGTTTTCTTGATAGGTAGTTCCGATTGCTTCCGGAATCTATTAAAAGTTTTAGTTCGCCTTTGGTCGACATCAACGAAATGTACGGAATAAAATTGTTCACGTCATTTGTCCTGAGTCTCCCACCACTTGAAAATTTAGGTCATCAATAGATAGTTGATCGAGCTGATTGGAAAGTGTCGTTGACACACTGTGCGAAGCTGTGTTTGAATTTTATGCTGCTGGCAAATCGGCCAGTTCTTCCGTCGAGACGTGTGATTGAGAATCATACGTTGTTGGTTGTTCTTCATAATTCATATGAGATGCGCCATAGTCATAATAATAACAATCATAGTTGTCAGCATACTCTGGGTAGTAGCTGTGCTCGTGACTGCATTCTTCTTGCTCATGGAAGTTAGGTCTGTTTATGTAATTAATTTTCTGTGTCCTTATGGATGGAGATGGGTGTCCAGGGGTGTTCTGTGGAGGAACAGGTTTAGGAGTGAATGGATTCTGCGCCGTTGGAAACGGTCTGTTTGTTTGTGGATGGGTTAAATTTTGTGGGTATCTTGGAAATGGTCTAGGCGGTGGTTGGTTTCTTGAAAATTGTGGTTGAGGATATTGTCGTTGAGGGTATTGCCGTTGAGGAAAATGTTGTTGAGGATATTGTTGTTGAGGATGTTGTTGTTGAGGATATTGTCGTTGAGGAAATTGTTGTTGAGGATATTTATAGATGGGAATCTGGGGTGATAGTTGTTTAGGAAGTGTGGATTGTGATTTTGTGGGAACTGGAGGGATGGTACGCACATAATTTCTCACATAATGGTAGTTTCCTTCTTCAAGGCAAAGTCTAAGGGCATCTTTTAAATTTTTAGGTGATTGCGCTTGGATAATTGGACCAAGGGGGTCCTTTAATCCAGACAAAAACACTTTCAAACCAAGTTCTTGATAGAAAGTTTTCTTGGCTGAAATCACATCATTATTCTGCTCGCTCAGCTTTAGCAAATTAACGAGCATAGAAACAGAATGTGAAATATTCCCATAAAATTCTTCGACTGAATTTGTTTGGGTTAATTTAAACATAGGGGAAATGACGGCTTCGGCATGACAGACTATTTTCGGCAACCCAAATTGAAACACTATTTTCACTGGATTTTCTTACGAAAACACTTCGCTGAATGCATGCAAACGATTCTTTATGCT